GACGTTTTCTGTAAGCTTGGGAGGTAATTCTGGGATGGATGGAGAATATGCCCAGCTGAGAAATCTCCCTGGGGGGCACCCGTCTGTACAAACACACACAGACGTGGCAGGCCGCCCCCCCGCTCTCCTTCGTTCCCCGGGAGCAGCAGGCAGGGCTGGCACGGAGCCGAGCGGGCGCAGGGAGCGGGGCCACGCCGTCCGTCCCTCCTGCCGGCCCCACCACAGGACGGAGTCAGACCCGCTGCTGTGTGTCCCCAGTGCAGCCACCCGGGCTCCGACAACTGCACCTACAGGAACTTCAGCAGCGCAGCGCAGGCGGTGACCGAGTGGTACCTCCTCCAGTTCACCAGCATCCTCTCCAAAGTCCCGCTGCAGCAGAGGATCAGGATGGGCTACCAGGCAGAGGACATGATCCTGGCGTGTCTCTACGGGGCCGAACCCTGCAACTACAAGTAGGTGCATCCTGAACTCCCTGCCCTTCTCTGTCCTTTCAGGAACTGTACAGGGCACTAAAGGTACAACGAGCCTTTTTCTTCTCTCTTTTTAAGGTATATACCAGTTAATAAAGAGATTTAAAAAACTGATTTTTTTGTCAGTTAATAAAGATGGTCCTAACTCTAATGACATTTCCCAGAGGGTTTCTGGATGGAATCGTAGATGAAACGGGTTATTTTGGGATAGTGCTGGCCGGAGTTGTAGTTTTGGGTGGGATGTTTTGCTCATGATCTATCGAGACTAACTGCATCAACGGGACCTCCCCAGGGTATTTAGTGATAACCAGCTGCCAGCCCAGGTGCTGACTCAGCGTACCCCCAGCACAGCAGTGCAGCCCCCCCCACAAAGTGCTACCCCAGCGGCTGTGTCTCAGTACACACCAGCACCTCGCTTTGCCTTTTTTAACAGCAGGTCGATTGAAGTGGCATCAGCTGGAGTTTCTATACGGGCACTCAACAAACGAAGCACCAGTCCCACCAGACGCATTATTTTATAACCCTTTAGTCCTCCCCGAGAGTCACAGTTTTATGTGCATGATTCTTCCAGGAATTTCACCCAAATCTATCACCCAGACCACGGTAACTGCTACATCTTTAACTGGGGCATGGACGAAGAGGCTTTGAATTCTTCCAACCCTGGAGCCGAGTTTGGTAAGAGGGAGCCCTGCGAAGGAGGAGGGAGCTGCAGGAGCAGCAGTGCTGGGGGTTGTTGTGTCTCTCAGTGGCCGTTTCCGTCAGATGTAGGAGATTTATGGTTTCTGTGGCTCTGGAGCACTCCTAGGAGCGGATAGGATTCCCTTTCCCAAAAGGGAAACGTGCCACATAGAAACAAGTAACGTGACGACAGATGTTACTTCGCAGAGGTGTCGCACCTGGATAGCCAAAATATCTGAGGCAATGTCCGAATATTCGCTCAGATATTTCCATCCTGTGCAGTCACCATCACACGTGTTCATGCACGTGCAAGGCTGACGTGACAGCCAGACCCCGGCTCTTCCCCCAGGGATGGGGATTTTTGTGCACAGTGAAAAGAAAATAGACTCCTTTTATTTCCCAAAGACTTGCGTATCGATACAATTCCTGTTCTGTTTTGTCTGGTGTGCCAGGGCTGAAGTTAATTCTGGACATCAGCCAGCAAGACTATATCCCCTACCTGTCCTCCGCTGCCGGGGCCAGGCTCATGCTGCACCAACAGAAGAGCTTCCCCTTCCTGAAGGACCAGGGCATCTACGCGATGGCCGGGACGGAAACCTCCATCGGCGTGGTGGTGGTATGTGTGGCATTCCTCTAGAGCAGATCGTCTGAGAATAATGTTATCTGATGGGACTGCAACCAAGTTTGTTTTAAGTCTCGGCTGAACTGGCTCAAACCAAAAGAGTCGAGGTATACGCTCGCCGTGGGCTGGAACGGTTTATGGAGACTTATGTAACTGTCCTGGCAAAGTGCTTTATTGAAGCCAAAATATTGAGCTGAGGTCATTGTTCCCTCTTCCTTTAGCATGTCAGAAGGTGCCTTGCTAAAGTGTGTCTTCAACACCCTCATCTGCCCCCCTCCGCCCCAGGGAACGGGTTGCAGCTCCCGCAGGGAACGCAGGAATTGCAGAGTCTCTGGAAAACGGGCACCGGGGAGCCGGGGAGGAGCGGTCGCTACTGAAATCTGCCCTTTCGTTTTCTTTCAGGATGAACTGGAACGGATGGGCTATCCCTACAGCGACTGCACCACGAACGGGTCTGATGTCCCCGTACAAAACCTCTACAGCCAATACAATACCTCCTATTCCATACAGGTAAAGCCCATTTTTAAATCAAACAAGGCTGTTTAGGAAAAATCATCAAAGCAGATAAAATCTTTGACGGGCATGCAGGGTTACTGGGGCATCAGCCAAGAGAAAGTCAAAGCATACCCTCAACACAGGACCCTTCCTTTCTGGTAACAAACCAGCACTCGAGTGTGAACACTCAGCAGCTCCAGGTTGGGAAACGATCCGAGCAGGATCCCAGCAGGAGCAGGAGCTAACGGCGCAGGGATTAAGACCTGCAGCAAAGGATGAGGACGGCTGCTCCGCGGGCAGCACGCTTTAGCGTAACCCCCAGTTCTCATCCCCACGTACGGCCAGGAAAGGGCATCGGCGTTTATCGGTCCCTGAGCCAGGTACGAAGTTTGTTTCATTTTGAGAGGAAACGGTGATTTCTGTCATTTTCTTGAAAGCCAAAGCACAGCAAACCCCCCAGGATCTCTGCAGGCACACGGGGCCGTGTGCGGCCGACCAGCAAAGCCCTAATTTGCAGACAAAAAGCAAACGTTTTTACCCCCCCACGGAGTGCAGGTTAACGCTGGTCCTTTCCTCCTGCCCTGTCGCCTCGGGGCTCGGCTCCCCGGAGCGGAGGGCTCCCGCTCATCCTGCAAAGCGAAGCAGGAGCGGGGTGCGCCTGGGCCCCTAAAATCCGCCCGTTCTTCAGTTTTCCCCATTTTGGCCCCCGAGCAGCTCTGGCTGCCGTCGGGCGCCCATCGGTTCCTGCCTCGGCAGCACTGGCCGAGGGGACCTGGTGTCCCCATCCTGTCCAGCCTCCATCCCTCCCTCCCTGCACCGGACGGTGCTGGGGACCGCGGGAGCCCCAGGGTGAGGGAGCCGCCGGCAGCCCCTTCCTCCGGTGCAGGGGAGAGCCTGGAACGGCTGAAACTCCCCATCGCTTCGGCTAATGCCGGCTCCTTAATAATGTCGGAAACACCGGGAAAATGCCTCTTGCAGAGGGCCCAGCACGGAGCTCCCCGTCCTCCCGGGACCTGACTGCTCCCGCACGGGGACGGCTGTTTGAGAACCGTCGTGCTCTGGGTTTTAGCCGTGGCTTTGCTCTGATGTGCAAAGCAGCCCGTGTTTTGTGCACACAAGCAATACCTGCCGCTGACAGGAGAGGAATAGACAGGAGGGATTCCTCTCCGGAACACTCCTGCTCTTTTTAATCCTTTTCTCTTTAGGAGGGAGCATTAAGTCATTTTCCACCCTGAAGATGCCTGCTCGCTTAATATAGGAAACGCCTTGTCTGCACTTTAAGATTGGGATGCGAAAGTTTGTAAACCTTGAATCTGTAGGAAAATACAGTGGTTAATCTGTAACAGGCTGTAACAGAAGGGAGAAGCATTTCTGAAGGTTGAGCTCTGGCAATAAGGAAAACATCAAAAGTGTTTTGGGGTTATTTAACGCCTGAAGAATACACCCCAGACAAGAGGGAGGGCTTTCGTCTAGCAGGTTATTTTATATTTCTGCCTTTATATAACAATTGGACCACTTTACCCTACTTTTTAAGATGCTTGTATAACGTTTAAACAAATACTTGAAGTGATTGCACTATGGCTTAAAAGTTGCCAAACGCTGACGGGGCTCTGTGTCCACACAATTCACGTCACTTCGGAGACCTCTCAGCAAAATCAGGCCCTTCCGTCGCCCCCACCGCGGCGAACTCCGGCAGCGCTTCACACTGCACAAACCCTTCACAGCTGGAGCTGTGAAATTTCCTTATCTGCTCACAGCTTTGTTGTGCTCCGTGCACTGTTCCATCCACAATCCCAGTGCTCCGTGCACTGTTCCATCCACAATCCCACTCCGGTCTCGGATGATTAACTCGGTGCAGAGCTGATGGCAGCGCTGCCGCCCAGCTCCCGCACTCCCGTGGCTGATGCCATCCTTCCAGGGAGAGGGGCAGGTGCACGGAGAAGATAATTCACATTTCTAAAACCTGCTCTTTATGCTGAAGTATTTTTTGAGTCTTGGCTTTTAAGTGAGCACCCTGTCCGTGTGTCATGTACAGCCTGGAGGCAACAGCAGCATCTCTGGGTGTAGCAGGACATTTTTATTCCTTTTTGGAAACTCCATGTTCCTTCCACGAAGCCCTGTGTAGGTAAGAAAGGAGCAGTCTCTGCACCTGGGAGCAGGCAGCGAGTTCCCTCCTGCTCCTGCGCGGCGACTTGCCCACGGGCAGCTCACGCCTGGGACGTACCTTAAACCCGGAGGAGCAGCAGTACAAACGCATCACACCGAAAACCGTAACTGCAGCACAGCTCCACACGTGGCAGCTCATCCTCCCGCCTTGTCTCGCCGGCGTGACCCGTGCCGGGCTTGCCGAGGGGCTGTGCCACCCGGCGCCGCTCGGCACACACCGGAGGATGGGACCACGGCGCGGCGCAGGGATGGGCGCTGGCAGCACCCGCTCCCCGCGCGGCTCCAGCCTTCTCTGTGCGCAGCCACGGAATCGGCGGCTCAGAGCGAAAGAGAAAACAGCTGAGAGCCGAGTGACGCCCCCAGCACGGACACCAGCGGCACGGGGGCGCGCAGGGCGCTCAGCCCACCTCTAAGCAGCTCCTCTCCCCTTCTCCCAGGCTTGCCTGCGCTCTTGCTTCCAAAACGACATGATCGAAATCTGCGGATGTGGTCACTACATGTTTCCTTTACCCGAAGGGGCAAGTTATTGCAATAACGACGATAACCCAGGCTGGGGTAAGAACACGAACAAAACGAACCGCTCAGCCCTGCCAGGGCCCTGGCACGTGGGGGGGCACGAGCGGCCGTGAGCTTTATTGCTGGTGGGAACGCAACAGGGGAACAGCTTTTGCCCAAAGGGAGAGAAATGGGGGTAACGCTCCGGGCCTCTGCGCCTGAAGAGCCCAGAGACAAAGTGGCCCGAGGAGGGGTGATGGGCTCCTGCAAGAACGCCCCGAAGGGGGTCTGGTGCTCCTGCCCTGCAGCTGCCCGGGGCTGCACCAAAGCCACCAACACCGGGCAAGCTGGCTCCATAGTCTGCAGAAAACTAAAATTCCTTTTTCATTTATTACTAAAGTGTCTGACCGCTTTGCCGGAGTTTCTCAAGGGAAGGAAGGTCAGAGGGGCAGACAGCAAACCTGTGCAGCAGGCTCACACCTGAAGATCTATTTTATTAAAAGAAATTGATATAATCCAGACAGCGGGGCCCTTGGTTAAAGAGATGCTTTGACTTTTTGTTTTCCCCGAACAGCGTATTGCTATTCCTTACTGAGGTCGAGTATAAGACACAGGCAGATCTGTATCGACTCGTGCAAGGAGACGTGCAAGTGAGTACCTGCGCCAGCCCGGCGCGGCG